GGGGGGGGGGGGGGGGGGGTGTGGTCCTTCCAAGCTCAACATTCCAAGTTGCAACAATGGATTCACAATTTGGGCTAAGAAATCCTAATAATTAGCAATTGGCCCATGGCATGTTAGTAGTTTCTCCATTTTAAAGTTGATTTAAGCCCAACACATGGCTGGATAGGAGCCAAAAATCTTGGGTTGGACCTATGTTGTGACTTGAGTAGAGATTGAGATTTTAATACATATAGAGTGTGTTTGTTTCACAGGATGGTGGGGGATTGGCTTTAAAGTATACTAGGGGCCCACATATCCCTCATTTGGATATGTTAAAATAGGTGGGACATTCGCAGTGTTTGAATGATCGGCCGTATGAAATGCTACCCAATATCCTTTTATGCACTAGATATCTGTAACCCATGGGGCAGGAGGGATTCAAATTTTGTAATAAAGATACAACGACCAATTTACTAAAACACCCATTATACAGTAGATTTCTAGGGATTTTTACACATTCCACACCCACTGGTCCCTCCTCTCATTCACAAAGAAGGCAATGGTGTCTGGTATATATATATATATATTATTGATGACGAAGTCCTCCCTTCCTCCTTGACTAGTATACTATTGATGACGAAGGCCAGTGGCATATGTAACTTCACCCAGATCACTCTCTTTGTCTCTCAGTTTTTTGATGAAGGTAATGGTATATGTTTTGGATCTTATCTAGTTTGATCTGTCTTCTCCGATTGCTTCTTCATTTTTCTATTAGTAGCAACAGCGGGGTGGGTTGAATTGGGTTTTTTTTTTGTGGGTGGGGATGGGCTTACAATTGTGGTGGCTTTTCAAGGGTAGGGTTTGTTCTTCATTTTTGTGTTTAATGTAGTAGTAAGGTGTGAATGACTCTTATGGGGCGTTGCTTGGTTCATCTGAATCAAAGGGGTAGAGATCTGATTTGGGTATTTTTAGTTGGTGGGGATGGGCTAACGATTTTGAGGGTTTTGGGGGAGTGTGGGTTATTTAGATCTCATCTGAATATTGTGTATTGACCTTTCAAACACACACACTTTGTAGTTTTCTCTTCTTATTTGTTTCTCGTACTAATTAGTTGTTTTTTAAGTGGATATAGAAGTCCATGACTTGTTTTTGTTTATTTGGACCTCTCTGCCAAACAAGATTTAGCTTCAAGCAGATACGCTATGCTCTCTCTCCCTTTACATCTCTACTTCTTCATCTCCTTCTCAGACTCTTCTGTGTATCATTTTGTACATTGCCAGAACTTCCCAACCTACCATGGCACAATAATTCAGCCAAGAACACACAACTGGTGTTGGATATTGGGCAAAATTAAGAGTCCTATGTTGTGCAGTTTGTTGTTAATTTGTTAGGTTTTGAGGCTTTTTGATTTTGGTCAAGTCCCTAGAAATTGTACTGGAATTGATAGTTTAATAAACTAGTGATGAACCAATTGATTCTCGAGTTTTGTAATATCATAGTACTTTTTTTTTTTACTGTGTTGTTCAAAAAGAAATACCTAATCATCCTAATTAATTTTTGACACCATACCAATGTAAAGTTGGTATAGAATTGGATTAGAATTTTTTACAAAAGATGTAATGGTTTTCACCATCTTTCATCTACATTTGTGAATAGAGTCCACAAAACAAATGTTCTCCATCCAAAGATGAGATAATATTAGGGCAAAATTCAGTTTACCCCCTTGTGGTTTGGGTGTTTTGCACATAACCTCCCTATGATTTGAAAATCAGAACATTACCGCCTTGTACTTTTGGACTAAAATGCTATCGTTAGTTTTTCTGTTAGATTAGACCATTTGTGACATACACGCGTCCAACAGAATGTTTGACATAACAAAATGTGTTTCCCTCCAAAAATAGGCACAATAAAAGTACAATAATACCCTTCCTTGATCTCCATCTTCCTGAGCAGTTGACTCTAATATTTTTCTCCAAACAATAATACCCTTCTGCAACATCACAAATCCACCTTCAACAACCCGACTGTGCAACGCCACTACCTCCACCATTTCTACTATGCAACAACACAAATTGCCACAAGCTCTGCACACTCCACTAAATTACCACCCTACTGTGCACCACCACCATTGCCACCACTTTAAAGCCAAGTTCAATCAACCAAGCAAGACACCAGTAATAACAGAGATTAACGAAGACCAAGAGGAAATAAAGGAAAACAAGGGATTCAGTTTATCCCTAGGACATTGAATTACAAAGTGAATTTCCTCTCATGAATTTCGACGAGTTGCTTCCTAGAATCCTTGCTTCGATTAGGGTAATTGGGGTTTGAGTTTGTGCTCTGTAAATGGGTAGTATGGTCGTGACTGTGATGGTTGCCTAGAGGGCTGTGATGGTTGCCCCGGTGACAATGAAAATTGGGAAAAAGTGGATCGTTGGTTTATTGGTTGTAGAGAGAGACAGAGAGAGGGTTGCCAATAGTGGCAAAAGGGTGGTGAGAGAAAGGGGCAAAAAGGTTGTTGCTTAAAGAATGAGAGAGGGAAGAGGGGGTCGTTGATGGAGAGAGATGATGAAGAAAAGAGAGAGGGGGGCAGTGACATTGTTGGGTCAGAGAGACACAGTGAGAGAGGCAATATTCATCAGAAAATTACCAGCGCCACTACTAGAGCCACCGCCTACGGAGGAGCTGCTAGTGATGCCAACTCCACGAGGGAAATATTCTTGGTGAAGATTTGGGTGGTCTTGTTTCATTTCTCTCTCTTTCTTTAAGAATTTTGGGTTTTTGGGTGTTGAAAAACTCGGAAATCAAATGAGGGTTTCAATGGGTGAAGAAATCTGAGCATTGGGGATTGGGGAAAGGGTGCTTGGTTTTTCACTACTCTCAGTTGTTTGTTAGAAAAGAAAGAGAGAGATAAATAAGATCAAACAAATACATTTTTTTTTCCAATTATAAAATAGTTAAACAAATTTTTATAGTCTGGTTCAAGAATCAACCAACATGTACATGTAACT